CGCCTCGGCCTCCCAAAGTGCTGGGATTACAGGCTTGAGCCACCGCGCCCGGCCTCCAACAAAGGGTTTTATTGTAGATTTTTTTTTCTTTTTCTTTTTCTTTTTTGCACCCATGCTGTTGATTGATAAATGTAATTGTCTGATCGTGACACTGAATAAATGTCTTTTTTTTTAATGTGCTGTGTAAAGTTAGTCTACTCTGAAGCCATCTTGGTAAATTTCTCCAACAGCGTGAAGTTAGAATTTCTTCAGGGTGATGCCACTTTCTATTTGGAATTTATATACAACCTGCTTGGGTGGAGAAGCCATTGTCTTCAGAAACCTTGGTGCAGTTGAACTAATAGTTACTGTTGTGACCTGAAGTTCACGATTAAAAGGGATTACCCAAGCAAAATCATGGAATTATTGGTTATAAAGATGATTGTTGGCACATCCTATGCAATATATCTAAATTGAATAATGGTACCAGATAAAATTATAGATGGGAATGAAGCTTGTATATCATCCATTATCATGTGTAATCAATAAATGATTTAATTCTCTTGAAAAAAAAAATTATGCCACCAAAAAGACAAACTCAAATTCTTCATTTATATATTAACTTGTGATTTGTAAGTACCAAATTAATGTATAATACCCAGAAAGTCAAAAATAATGACATTTTCCAAAAAATTTTAGGTTATAGAAATCTAGAGGGACTGAGATGGCTGATTAGAAGCAGCTGTGGTCCACAGCTCTCATAGAGCAGAATGAAATGGCAAGTGAATTCAGCACCTTCAACTGAAATATCCAGGTTCTCACACTGGGACTGACTAGGCAGACAGTTGGACCCACAGAGAACAAGGAAAAGCAGGGTGGGGCGATGGTCCAACTGGGAGAGCACAGAGCCAAAGGACCCCAACCCCAAGCCAAGGGGAGCAGTGAGAGATTGTGCAACCCCACCCAGGAAACCACACTTCTCCCATGGTTGTTTGTAACCTGTGGATCAGGAGATCTCCTGAAGACCCCAAACCACCGTGGTACACATTTACCTATGTAACAAACCTGCACATCCTGCACATATACCCCAGAACCTAAAAGTTGAAGGAAAAAAGAAATCTATAGAATGAGCTCCAGATTATTGCCTTATATTGCTTAAACCCAGGAGGACTCAATTCATCCACACTTAAAAGGAATAAGAGTGGTAAGTTATAAATCTAGAGATTTATAACCTGATAAATTATAAATCTGTACAGAAGATGGACTGTTTGGGAAAAAACGTTAGACTCTTTCCCCTAACATAGGGGAAACACTGTTATTCTATAATAGCTTCTAATAATTGCTTACAACTTAATGCCTGGGTTTGAAATCTCAAAGTCACCTTCCCCCAAAATATATACAATCAACTACATTTGTGTATAAAAATCTACCTTTTGAATGTTCTTTGGATCAGAAATAGGAGAACCCCACACTTCATCAATTTTCACTGAGAATCACTCTTAGTTTCTGGCACCTAGAATTTCCCTTTCTTTCTTTCCAGGTCTGTTATATTTCTTTCTTCTGATATTTTATCCATCTTTTCTATGCGGTTATAGAAGGCAAGGGGCCTGAATTTGTTCAGTCCACCTCACTGTCAGAATAAAGTCTCCACAAAAAATTTCAAAAATTGTCCTTACCATCTAATATTATTAATAAGTAAGAGTGAACTGGCCAGGCATGGTAGCTCAAGCCCGTAATCCCAGCACTTTGGGAGGCCAAGACGGGTGGATCACAAGGTCAGGAGTTCAAGAGCAGCCTGGGCAAGATGGTGAAACTCCGTCTCTACTAAAAATACAAAAATTAGCCATGCGTGGTGGCGGGTGCCTGTAATTCAGGCTACTTGGGAGGCTGAAGCAGAGAACTGCTTGAACCTGGGAGTTGGAGGTTGCAGTGAGCCGAGATCACATCACTGCACTCCAGCCTGGGCAACAGAGTGAGACTCTGTCTCAAACGAATGAATGAATGAATGAATGAATAAATGTGAATTAATACTGTTCAGCCAAACAATGTTTTCTTGTACTCAGCCTTTGCAGTCAAATATTCCATTTCTCTTTCAGGAATATCACAGTCTTCTTATGCTTCTGCCCTTTGCCTTTCTCAGTAACAATAGGAATTTTGACACAAGGTAACTTTTTATAATACAAAATTCTGCTGTGCTGGTATACAGAGCATAGAAGGCTACAGTAAAGTACTTCCAGAGTTTGGAGAGAGAACAAGATCAATATAGTGAATGAGTTTGGTTATCTGCAGAAGTAACTCAGAAGCACAGTATAATAGAAACTGCATGAGAACGAAGTTTAAAAGCACCTCGTTTTTAATCCCAATTTACAACTGAAGAGGTGACTTCAGGTAAGCTACTTAACTTTCCTCGTCCTCATTATTTTAAGACAACAACTATTCATCTAATAGGTTTATTGTAAGATAACCCAGTAGGCACTCAATAAATAGTAGATATTATTACCTAAAGAGTGTTTGTAAATGTTTTCTGATAAAAATCAAAGAAACCTACTTATTCACCAATTATTCTCAGAATAACAGACTAGGTATAGAGAAGGTTATGATTCAATTCAACCCAGTTTATTATCCTGTGACAGGGTACCGCTGCTTAACCACCAAAATGGGAATTAAATTTTATTTTGTTATTTCATTTTAGTTATTAAGTTGTTTGATTAGTATATATTTAATCCCAGAGTATCTAAATCCCATTTATATGTTTGGGGAATTATCCTTGGTGTAAGTCTTGGAGGAAGGCAAAAGCTACCCTCCACTAATGCGAATTTGCCAGATATTCACATTCCTGGTCTCTCTTGCAGGCTCTTCCAGTCAGATGCACCCTTATTCTACCTCTCTCCCACTGGACTCTGACTTAGGAGTCAACAATGCAAAGAAACGAAGCCTTTAAGGAATGCACCCTGGTAGTAACCCATTAAAGCCAACAGAAATTCTCTGGTTCTGTTACAGCCTATAAAAAAATCTCTATCAAGACCATCAAATCTCCTTTGTTCTGAACGTATGCTTTCCAAACAATATCTAAGTTGCAAATTTTGTTCACTAGATACCCTAACATCAGAAACGGCACTAAAAAGTATTCCATACCCTGAAAAGGGAATAATATAACCATAAATGAATACTCTCTAGTTTTTTAAATCAGTCTCTTAGAAGTGTGGCATGTGCGTCAGACCCCTATAGCCTCATCTCTTCCAGGAAACTGACAAATCAAGTGCCAGAAAACCCAAAATAAGAACGAGATTCTGAACCCATGGGACCCACTGAGGTATAGTTACTTGTGATGTTTTATGACTAATCATTCATTACACACACACACACACACACACACACACACACACACACACACCCCTTCTCATATAAACCATTACATGGTCTACAGTTCTGTAGAGAAGAGTGCTGAAATACAAGTGACTCATAAAACAGAAATGCTATATACCTTCAAGGTCCAAACACAAAGACAGATAAAGAGAAAGAGAAATGAGGACAGTGTCTGAGAAGAGAGAAATTTGGTTTTCTACGTTCAGAAGATTCGTTTTTTTTCCTCCAGAAGATTTTGAAAAGCCAGTCTCTACATCGATGTTTCTACTGTATTAGACATTATTCTATTTAAATAAAACATAAAAAATTCAACATTTAGAACACTGGTAAATTTAATTTTAACCAGAAATCCCTTCTACCTGAATTACACAATTTCTCAACTAAGCCTCCGTTGCATGCTACCCACTTAAGTATGGGAATAAGAACACAGATAATATTTATTTTCCTAATAAAAAACAAATGTCAAATGTACATCTTCATACCTTCTTTAAAATTACTTTCAAATTACTATTCCTGAGGTTTTATTTTAGGTACAAAATACGAGTAAGTCAGAAAAATAGAAAAATTATTCATACATTGCAATAGAGTATATTGAGTATAGAGAGAAAAGGAACTAACTTCTCCAAAGGAATAAAACTTACATTGCTGACACTTTAATATATTGAGATAGCATTTGTTTTAAAAACATTAACTTAAGTATAGTAATGTCCAATAGATATTAAATCAGGGCACGATACTGGAATAGATTTATAATATATCTGATTCAGTTTTTTTACTTGGTCTCAATTTCTTTTTATTTTTGGTTCCAGCATTCAAGTATTACATATTTGTACTCACTGCCCTTTCAAATGTTGTATCAAAATTCAACAGACAAACCAAAACAGAGCTTTGGCAAGGGCAGAATTGCTTAAAACCAGCAAAGAACTCATTTTTACAATTCTGACCACATCTAGAACAAACAGGAATAACACAAACATCCTTTAGAATTCTAATGTTTTTCCAGCTTTATTGAGGTACGATTGAACAAATATACTTTCTAATTCTTATCAACAAATAACCACATTTCAGACATAGAAAAACTATCACAAAAATGACTGATGTTAATCACTTCCTTCCTAATTTATCTCAGAAACTATTTTTTAAAAATACTATTTATATTTACACAGACCTAAAATTGTTCACCTTTCATAATAATCCACACTCCAATGTAAATTACCAGATTTAAATATGAAGCTAGTTTCAAAAAACTCAATGGCATAGGGGTTGGGTGGTGGGGTGGCTTATAGACACTATTTAGATCCGGATACAAATAAACTATCTATAAAAGACATTTGTGAGATGACTGGAGAATATGAATATGAACTGGATAACTAGATATATAATTTTTGCTATTTTGGATATATAATTATTATATAATTAGTTATATTAGTTCCTTATTTTTATGATATATAATATATATATATATATATATACACATACACACATATACACATATTTAGAGGAAACATGACAACATCGGAATTTGAAATATTACCAGAAAAAAAGCAGTTAAAGTAAAATATTGATAATTTTTAAACTGGAGGAGGGTTCACTATATTTTCATATATGTTTAAAATTTTTCATAGAAAAAAAGTTAAAGAAAAAACAAAAGAAGAAATATACAGGGTTACCTTTTCCCAGTCAACTCAATTTGGCCCTTCTTATTGAAGATGAATTTAGAATCATTATATCCCCATCCATTCCATTTCATAACTTCTTGCCTAGTGAGAAGAAAAATATATATAAATGAGACCTATGCTAAACATTGTACAGTATATCACTGATTATTAACTCACAATCATCTAAAACACCCTATCCCCGCTAATACTATATAAGGTTAAATAAAATTAGCACACATTAAAATGTCCATATACTAATATTTCTCAATATAGAATCACTCTGATGAGCAGCACCTGCTTCACAGAGGGCTAGAACAAATAAATTTAACACATTCAAAGGAAGAGAAATAAAAAGTTGCAAAAAGGAAGAAGATATCCTTTAAATATAAATGTCTAATTTTGTACATGTTATTGGGTTTACATCGTAAAATGACCTAAAAATTTTGCAATTAAAACAAAGGAAAGAAAGTTTTACACATCTGAGAAAAAAATCATAATTATTAATCTTCTGCTATGATTAAAAAAAAAAAAGACCAATTTACCAGATAGATTCACTAGTAGTAGACACAATAAAGTATATTAAAAATCTCAAGTGCTGGATTTACAAATATTCTGAATTCTTCAAATGCCATATAACTACCAATCTCTAACTTGACCTACATATTATAACAGTTAATGGCTATACTCATTTTCAGTATTCCAAAATAAAATGCTATTTTTAATTTCCAAATACCAATATTTCATAGATGTAAAAATCTTTTTATCAAAATCAATGGCTGAATCATTCAATTCTGCACTTCATGTGAGAATAGATAGGTCTTGCCTGTATAGAATATAATAAGCAATCACACTGAAGTATTGTATCACTTCTTATTACCCTAGTTTGGCATAGTACCTTAGTTTGATCTTGGCTACTGAAATAAATTGATGGTGAGTCTTCTTACTATAAATTCAACTATGCAGTTTATGATGCAAATAACAAAAACCTTTCTCTATCTTGAAAGTTATTTGCTGAATTAAAATTTCAAAATATAGCTGGGCATGGTGGTATGTGTCTGTAGTCCCAGCTACTAGGGAGGCTGAGGCAAGGGAATTGCTTGAACCTGGAAGGCGGAGATTGCAGTGAACTGAGATTGCACCACTGCACTCCAGCCTGGCAACAAAGCAAGACTCCATCTCAGAAAGAATAAAAAAAAATTTCAAAATAAAGATGCACTCATTAGAACGTGTTCTTCTTCTCTATAATTCTCAAGACAGAAGAAAATAACAACTGACAAGCAAGTTTTTTTATTACAATCATAATTCTTATTCTAGTTCAAAGGCTTTTCAAATGAACATGAACATAATACAACTGAGCCAGATACATGTAATTAATTATGAACTGAAATCTCCATCGATACATAAAATTAAGACAAAGAAACTAGGAATACTCTGTTTACAACTATGATTTACTATTAATAAACGTACAATCTTTCTACAAAAACTTCAAAATATCTGAAGAGTATCAATCCAGAGACTGGATTTGTAGATTAGTCAGTTATAAACTAACTCCAAATATTTTTTCTAATCCAATAACATTCCTACCTCATTGCAGAGGGAAGTTTTGGAAGGGAGCTTTTGGAAAAATCTCTGTGGAAAAACATCATGACCAGTGACACACTCATTTTCTTGAGATTTTACTTTTTTGTTGTTTTGGTGCCAAAACATGGGATTGAACCATAAGATTTTCACATTCTAAAAACAGATTAGGATATTTTCCACTTTGCTTTTTTTCATGATTAAATTATCTTCATTTTTATGAAGTGTAATTTACTTAGTATTTTCTTACTATATTTCAATAATTTAATTAGAAGGATAAATGTATATTTTAATACATTAACATCTTTCATTGCTTATAATGTGCATAGATTTTTAAGTGATTGTATTTTATTAATTAGTTATTTCAACATTTATTATAATTCTGTTCTCTACAAAATAGTAATTTGGTATTACACAAAATAAATGCAAAACTCTGAAGGCAATGCACAGGGAAATCCTTTCAGTACAGAGGTTGAATTTGGCATGTTTATGTAGCTTAACAATGAAAAACATTTTCCTTAAAATTATCCCTAGAATTTAAAAAATTATTCCCAGATGGCCCCAAAGTAAAAAGCTAAACTTGGTCACATGGGTTCATTCTTAACACTTCATGAGGAAATGAATCAAGATGAACAGGAAAGATTGCTGTTATACACTATAAAGTGAAGGAATTTACATCCTGAAGAGTCTTTGGCCTTAAACTTTCAAGTTGGGTCATATCCTTAAAAACTTCCAAATTTTCACCTCTAGGTCCCTTTTTCTCTCTTTTCATCCCAGTCATAAAATCGGGCTTATGAAATGGGCTTTACCATATTTATACCAACTTTTTGAGTCTTCTCAGAAATTGAATGTAGGCATTTGGAATGCATTTGTGCCCAAAACAGGATTATAATGCATAAATAGTATACAATTAATATCTGGATTACACCCAAACCAATCTTCTGATTTCTTCAAGTACCCCATGTGTTAAATAAAAAATAGGTAAATTTCCTAGGTTTCTGGTCTTAAATTTTTATATATATATATCCTACCCCCCCATTACTAATATAAACTCTGATAGTTAAATATAACTATATGATCAAATCTTAAAATAACTTCTTATACACAAGAGTACAATAAGTACATTGAAGGGCATTACAGCATTAACATTTTAAAATTAGAGTAAAACTTTACAGAGCAACAGAATTCAAAAACTAAAAAGATCCTCAGAACCAAGCTAGTTCAATTGCTCATTTTTCAGATAAAGAAACTGCCCAGAGAAGCATCCCTGGTCACACAGCTAAGTTAGTTGCACGTATCCAAAGGCTGACTTCCAGTCTCATAATTCTTCAAATATTATTCTTCAATAATATTTGAAGCCCACTTAAGTCAGGCCCTCAGGTAACCAGAATATTTGAAAGAAACTCATTTTTTCTTCACATCAATAGTGTTTCAAAAAACTATTATATGTTACTACAGGTTGAGTATTCTTTATCCAAAATGCTTGGGAACAGAAGTGTTTCAGAGTTCAGATTTTTTTTTTCAGATTCTGTAATATTTACATACACATAATGAGATCTCTTGGGGATGGGACCCAAGTCTAAACAAAAAATTTATTTATGTTTCATATACATCTTATTACATAGTGTAAAGGTAATTTTATACAATATTTTAATGGGTTTGTGCATGAAACAAAGTTTGTATACACTGAACCATCAGGAAGCAAAGGAATCACTATCCCATGGCAGTGTTCAAAAAGCTTCCAATATTGGAGAATTTTGGATTTTAGATTTTCAAATTAGGGATGCTTACCCTGTATTGCAGTCATTCTTCTGCACTTGCTCTGAAGGAAAACATTTAAAAATCAAGGGTATGTTTGTATCATAAGCTAAATTCCCTATGCTTCTGAGAGTGTAATGAATTCTGCCATTCAGAATAACCCCAAGTACTGCAAGCAGTAAAATGAAAAATGATGAAAGAATCACCAACTTCCCATATATTTAAATAAAGAAATGAAATTCTTAACTAACCCCAGAGGTCAATTAACCAGTATGATCTCTCAGACATACCAATTCTTAGAGCTAACTATACCAAATTTAACATCTTTCAAAAAACAAGACCCCTCCTCCTGTCAAAAGAATAGTTGGCATGATTTTACTGCATACAAAAATAAAATATGTTTTATACATTTACACATCTGACCACAGTATGAAACAGTGAAAATGCACAGTATTAGCTGGTGTAACAAAAAAAAATGGAGGCATAAAACAGCATCCTACATGCACAAGGTGGCAGTCCTCTCCCATGATATATATATGATATACACATTCAGTAGTTTTCATTTTCCAGGGCAGTTATTGTATAATCTTTAGGAGAAATATTTAGATTTAGCCTTACTATTATTAAGATAATAAAGTTTCTTTATTCTTAAAATGGTAAATTTTCACTTTGAAGTCTCTGTTTACAGACTGGTTATCAGATTACTATTTCTCTACTAGTAATAAACTTCAAGCATCCTGATATATATGCATTGTTTCTACCATTGCTATTTCTAATCATAATATTTTTCACTAGAAAATAAGAAAAAGGAAAAAATGACTTGGCCTCCTTTCATTCTGGGTTAACAACTGTAAAAGTTCAGCTATGTAATAACTTTTTAAAAAGTTTTTCTAATAAAATTTCAACAATCAAAATTCTAATAAAAGATGCTTCACTCTTCAGTTTAGATCAATATTTCTTCTTTCCCTGACATAAAACTCACACAGCTACCTTCATCTGATAATTCTGTGATTTCCTAGAAAGAAAAAGGCCAACTGAAATGGCCAAAAGGATCTATAATTTTACTTTTCGTCATGAATTAGTTTATTGGCTTGTTAATTAACTTTGGTAACTGGTGAGGGCAGTCAGACTACCTAAATGTAATTGACTTGAGGACTCTGATAAGATCATATTTCTAGATGGGTCAACAAGGTAATAATCTGTGTCCTCTAGAGAGTGAATTTTCTTGTACCTTATCATGCAACACTTTAAACTTCAACAAGAATTTCAATCTTCCCTCAATATCCCCATCATAAGTTTTTCAGCTCTAGTTGCCAGAATAAAAATGTGACCCTGTGATATAATGTTATTAATTAATGTGCTAATTCTTGGCAATGTGATAATGTAAAGTGGCCTAAATATGAGATTTGAGAACACAGAAAGCTGTTAACAAGAACACGAAGAAAAGGAATCCACATGCATACTGGTAAGCCACTCCACAGAGCAATCAGGTACTAAGCTTTCATAGGTAATGCCAATTCTGTGGCCCAATTATACACCTTCTGGGTATATACTGCAGAGGAAATTCCATAAGGGAACACATTTGATATATTCCCTGGAGCATTGTTTATAAAAGTAGCTGGAGGCATCACTAGAGGAGCAGATAAGTAAAGTGGAAAATGCATTCCATGAAATATTAATGCAGCAATGAAAAGCAGTGAGGTGAATAGACATGCATCCAGAAACATGAAGAAATGTTTAAAACAGTGGTAAACACAAAGGAAAAATAATGAAATCCATAGTAAAACAGCATTTAAGGAAATTTAAAATATACACAGTAAATAACACTGCATATTTCACAAAACATACATAAAATATTATATATATATCTCAATATATTATAATACATTCATCATATATGTATATTATACACATTACACACACACACACACACACACACACACACACACACATACACAAGAACCTTCATCGGCACCCACGGGAGAGGCAGATGAAAAATTAGGAATCAGAGACAGAAGAAAATTAAAGAGAGGCCTCACACAAACATCATACATTAAAAACGCATGTTACAACTCTCTGAACCTGAGGCAAATATGCTGCTCAGACTTTGAATCTCAGTGCAGTTTCTTTCTGTTCTGAGAAAATTCTTTCTTTCATATTTATGCAGAACTTTCATGATGGTTTATTATAAAATCTATTATTGGGCTTCTTAATCGCTACAAATTTTTTTGAATGATAGAATTCCATTATGAATTAAACAGCTTCAAATATATGATAAACCAAATCTACATTTAACTACCTACAGTCAACTTTTTATAGTCCACAAGAAACTGGCACTCTAAAAAACTTTTTAAGGCCAAGTGCAATGACTCACACCTGTAATCCCACCACTTTGGGAGGCCAAGGTGGGAGGATAACTTGAGCCTTAAGGTTCAAAACCAGCCTGGGCAATATAGTGGGACTCCCAATTCTCAAAAAAAAAAAAAAAAAGCCAGGTGTGTTGGTGTAAGCCTGTAATCCCAGCTACTACAAGGCCAAGGTAGAAGGATCCTGCACTCCAGACTGGGTAACAGAGTGAAGCCCTGTCTCAAAACAAAACAAAACAAAACAAAAAGAAAAGAAACCTTTTAAAACTTGAATTCAGGGCTCAAAAACTGCATCCCAAAGGTCCCATTCCTACTACATTTACTGTGAATAAATGAATGAAAGGAAAAGTAATATACAGGTATAAAGAGGAAAAACTGTAAACATAGGCACAGGAAAGATGCAGGGGGCAAGAAGGACAAATAAGGCAAGGCCAGTCTTACCACACATTGACAGAATACTCTGAGCAGTCACTAATCACTTCAGGTTCTTGGGGTGCTATTCTTTACTTCCACACTTCTCTCACATACTACACCATGTTGTACCAACTAGAAACTCATTACTGTTTGAATGATGCATTTGAAAATGGAAATACACACTATTGTCATTCATACATTTAGTAGTATATGTTACAAATATTCTAAGCTAGGGTAGGTAGGTATCCACATACCCACTTACACAAGATTGGTACCTGCCATTCTGAAAGCCTGGAAAGAAACAACGATCCTATCCTTTACGCTCAGGTGTTTGTCTATGCAATGAGGAATACAATCCAAATCTGCATCAGAAAGTTGTCTAGCAAAAGACAAAGAGAAAAGGACATATCCTTCATTCAGCTGGACTCCTGTGTTTCCCATACTGCACTTGAAATTTCATGATTTGTTCCCTTCACTGTCCACTTGTAATCTAATCAATATGGCAATTTTGGTAAACAACCCCAGACTTTGTCTGCCACCAAGTGGGAAAATGTCAATTCACTTTCATTGCTCACTCCATGCTTGTTAGTAATTAAAAAAGGAATTGCATCACAAACTTATTATACTGACTAGCCTACAAGTGACCAAAGGCCATTTCTGGTAGAGCCTCGCATTTCTGTAGAAACTATAAAACTGAAAACAAAGAAAACACAAATGTCTGCAAAAATCTATATGCTACTTTAGCATAGAATCAAGCCTAAGTTCCCTTCCCCAGCTGTCTTTTGGGGACAGGCTAACAATACCCTTGGCATGACCCTAAAAATGCCAAGACTAAAATCCATATCGGCTTGATGTACACAGTAGTCTTTCTTGTTGTAAACAGTAGTTGCTGGCTTTTTTTTTTTTTAATCTAAAATAATGATAAAATAATCAGCAGTAGCCCCTTCTACTTTAAGTGGTAGGTAGTTGGGATGGCTACCTTTGCTTCTGGCAAACCCATGGAAAAAATGAACCCCATAAAGTTTGGGGGAGAGAAGAAAGCATTGAAAGCAGGATCCAATCATAACAACAGAGGTTCTCAAACTTCCTAGGAGTATAAAAAATCACCTTGGGTACTTATTTTAAAACCAGAGTACTGGATGCCATCCTAGACCCAGCCCATGATTAAAATTCTGAAAGTAAGGCCTCAGAATCTATACTTTGAACAAGCAACCTCAGGAAATTCTGATGTAGGTCATCCACAGACCACACTTGGGTAAGCATTACCTTAAGACATAAGAAAAAGTTAAGAATAGAAGCCTCATCTATTGAATAACCACAAAGGGATACATAGCTTTAATGTAAATAATTTACAATTAAGTTGCTCTCACCCAAACCTTACCAAAATCAGGAGACTAGAATTGAGAGAGAGGAACTGAAAGGAAATACTTTAAGCTCACTTTACTATAGGAGAGGATGGCCCTGAGTAGAATTCCACAAGAAAACAATGGGCAGCAAGAGGGCAAAGTGGCAGCACCCACCATGTGGGAGATAGCAGAAAGAGATAAGAGGAAATGGAAATATGATTATATGACAAGGGAGGTAGCATAAATCTATACTTAAATCTCACAAAGGACTATCTGGATGGGGAAATGAGGGCTATATAGAGATCATATTTTCTGATGCAAATTTTAGGAAGTTTGATCCACGATAGAACTTTAGTTCATACATGGTCAAAGTCTTAAAAAGTATAAAAATTAAAACAATTATTTATCAAATAACTTTCCTTTAGCACAATAATATATTGATTCAGATTTCAATGTGTGGCTACCAAGGCCACATATCACATAGAAGCAATGGTGAGCCATGACTAAGAGCCACGGAGAAGAGTTTCAAACAAGAAATAGCACAACAGTGACTAAATGTCATGTGTGTTCAGGCTAAAACATGATATGAGAAACTGCAGATGCTCTATACTTTTTGGATTCTTCCCTTCCTTTCTAATGCATAAGATGACACTTACTAGAAATTTGTTTTCTCGCCAGGCACAGTGCCTTCTGCCTATAATCTCAGCGACTCAGGAGGCTGAAATGGAAGAATCACCTGAGGCCAGGAGTTCAAGACCAGCCTGGGCAACACTTTGAGACCCTATCTTAAAATTTTTTTTTTTTTAATTACCAGGCATGGTGACACACGCCTATCATTCCAGCTACTAGAGACGATGGTTTTTGAGCCCAGGAGTTCAAGGTTACACTGAGCTATGATCACACCACTGTACTCCAACCTAGGTGACAAAGTGAAACCCCATCTCTTAAAAAAAAAAAAAGAAATTTGTTTTCTCTATTAAAATGTCATTATTGCCACTGAGTACCTCCTACTTCTTGCTGGGCTTCCACGTTCAGAAACTGATATAGTTTGAATATTTGTCCCTGCCCAAATCTCATGTTCAATTGTAGTCCCCAGGGCCGGAGGTGGGGCGTGGTGGGAAGTGTTTGGGTCATGGGGGCAGATCCCTCATGGTTTGGCGCTATTTTTACAACAGTGAGTTCTCATGAGATCTGGTCATTTAGAAGTGTGTGGCACTTCCCCCTCCCGCCCCCAACCTCGACTCTTGCTCCTGCTTTTCCCATATGAAGTGCCTGCTCCCATTTCATCTTCTGCCATGATTGTAAGCTTCCTGAGGCCTTCCCAGAAGCTGATGCCAGGGCTATGCTTCCTGAAGAGCCTGCAGAACCATGACCCAATTAAACCTCTTCATAAAGTATCCAATCTCAGGTATTTCTTTATAGCAATCCAAAAATGGTCTAATACAGAAACTATTTTAGCACTCTATTCTTATTACTCATTTCTGTATAGTTTACTGCAATTACAATATTGTACAATACTATAAAGCTAAGGGCTTCACAATTATTATCTTAAATTATTATCTTATTTCCTTCTCACTTTAATCCTGTGATGTATGTGTCATTATCCGTATTTAAAACATGAAAAAACTGGTCCAGAAAGATTCAGTAACTTGTCCACAGTCACACAAATAGTACGCGATACCACTAGGATTTAAACCATGGCTGTCTGGCTCCAACACTCCTAACTACCAAGCAATGATTTCAGTATACTCAATGACAACCACACAAGGAGCACAAATTATTACAAGAGCTCAGTGGTGTTCATCTCTAGCTGAAAGAAGTCTTTATTGTGGAGGCATTTAAACTTCCCCTTCTTTGGAAAATGGTAAAATTTCAATAGTCAAACAGAGGATGAAAGCACAAGGATCTTCCCATCTAATAAGCAACATAAAATTGGCTGAAGCATAAAATACATTCAAGAAGTCTCAGAGAACAGCTGACAGCCTTGAATGCCAAATAAGAGGCTGTTATTACTTCAATAATTAATAGAGACCCATAGGATCAAAACAGTATTTTCCATGTTCATTCCTTCTACCAAAAGTCAAAATCTAGCAGTGTGTGCTTTAAAACTCTATTGACTCTCCAATGTGGATGAAATCCCAATTCTTTAACATAGCATCACTCTACATTTTCACCTTCCTTAACAGTTGTTCCCAGGCACATTACATTGCCACAATTCCTTATACATACCATGCCCTCTTATCTCTTCCTGTCTTTGCTCTTGCTATATATCCCCTGTCTAAAATACCCTTCTCTCCCTGGAGGGAACCAGTCTAAGAGTCACTTCTATAAAGCCTTTTCCTATCTTCCTCAAGAATTTATGGCTCTTTCTGTATACAATCACTACAGCATTTACTACATCATATCTTTTATATATCTATCTATATATCTCTAGGGACTGTCAATCATTTTTGCAATGTTAGAATATAGCATAGCACAAGCATGCAGCAAGTACTGACACTTTCCCTGAACAGAGATTGGCCTGGTAATAGAATAAAGAATCATTTAAAGGTGAGAAACAGGAAAGGGAGACCAGGCTAGATATAAGACAATTAAGATTTCATCTAAGCTGGTGGCAATGAGAGAAAAACAAAGTGTCTTGAGAGCCAATAATAGAGTCCATCTGATTTGTCAATGATCTGAATAAGGGATGGGAGATGGAGCTCAATAAGGTCTCATGACTAAGGTGTTGTTGGATTTGAGTGTCTAAATAATGGGGGAAGTGAAAAGAAACAGTGGAGCACTGAGATTGAAGACTAAAATAATGACCTTGTACATGAATGTTGAGTTGGAGAAACCAGCAAGATACTTAGAAACACCCAATAATTAAAAATGTAAAAATGAGAGTTGAGAACTAGAGATATTAACTTAAAAGTTCCCCTAAGCGTGGTAAAAGCTATCACAGTTCAAGTAGATGAAATTATTAAGGAAGAAAATGCAGAAGAAATGACTAAAAATTAATCCTATGGATTTGTAAGCTTAGGAAGAGAAGGAAGTCGGCAAAAGTATGGTCAGAAAGATAGGAAGGTGCGAAAAATACAGAACAGTGCAATAACATGAGCTAAGAAGAGATAAGAACATATACCAGGTACGGGAATTGGTCAAGAGGCTAAAAATTTTATATTTAGGTTATCCATGGCTGTTAAGAAGGCCTTTTCAAAAGGGTGATACGTGCAGAAAATTTCAGAATGTTATCTAAGCATGCTTATAAGCAGCAGGAAAAATCAACGAAGAGAAAAAGATTGATGACTTGAGGAAAATAAATAGAATAACTCATGGAGCAAGATCATAGAGAAGGAATCATCAAAAACAAATGAGCAGAAAATCTGGTTGTGTCATCTTTAAATGTATGATAGCCAGAGTCAGTTCAGCTCATTTAGCTGCCTGGGCAGCCACCTATGTCTTTTGATCACCACCACTTCCTTCCCAGCAGTAACTTATTAGAGCAATGTAAACATGTAACCCAAGATTGGAAACAAGGGGTTCAATTATTCTCTGCTATTGGCTGAATTCCTGGAGGAGTGGGGCAGCCACATTTTACCATTTGGACAGAAGAGCAGAAAAAGCTGATACACTTAGAGAAGCCTACAGCAAATAGTAGCAAGAAGTGATACTATCAAGAAACTTGATGGCTTTCTGGTTCTTAGCTCTAATTTCACCCTGAAGTCAAGCTCAGTTCTTACCCTTGAGTTCTTTGGCACCCCTGTACTCTTAGAATAATTTCCCTTTTCTGCTTTAACCTAGCTCAGATTAATACTTATAACAAATATCCCCAATTAGTATACATACCAAAAAATAATAATTCTTCTAAGTTACCAGTTGTATAAAATCTGAGTGCAGGCATGGCAAACTAGAATGTACTTTCTGAAAATAATGGTAGATGGCAGGTATGAGCTTGGAAATAAAATCAAAATTAGAATAGCAGTATAATAGTTGTGAAGCCAGAAATAATTTATGAAGGCAAAACAGACAAATACTATTTGGAAATCAAAACCGATTGATATAAAAGAAAAAAGCAGAACCTTTCTGAAGGAGATTTAACTTCAAAAATGAAATTACCTTTTACTTTAAAATGCATCAAAATAAAATAGATTAATATTAGATGGAGAAAAGAAGGTATTAATGAATGGATATGTGACAAATGCATCCAAAATAAAATACATTGATATTAGGTGGAGAAAACAATGGATTAATGGATATGTGATAAGCACAGTAAAACATTAACAGTAGAATCTAAGTGAAAGGTATACAAATGAATATTGTGAAGTTCAATTCTGCAATACATTTAAACATATGCAAAATGTTGGGGGGGGGTAGGGAAGGAAGACTGCTGACACCATAATCCTTAAATTACATCACCTCATATAACAGGATTTGCCTGAATAGTAAATAGGAGACATCTGAATAAGCATGGAATGTACATTTTTTACTGATAGCAATAAATGGTTTAAATTGATACATCTAAGTCAGTTGTCTTAGCTCTCCCTCCTTCTCATCACCCCCATAGACCCGGGC